CGTCGTCGTCGTCGCCATCGTCGACGTCGTCGTCATCGTCCTCGCCACGACGAGAAAAAACTAGCGAGCGAGGAGGCAGGGCGGCCCGACGGCCGAACAGAACGCACGAACGACCAGAGGGGACGAAGAAGTGACGAGCGGACGAGGCTACACAGAGGAAGCGGATAAGGAATTACGGACGAACGAACCAAGGAGGAAGAAGGGAGATACCCAAGATAGAGGGGGTCCAGACCTCTGGAGAGCCACGCTGGGAACAAAACGCGACGGAAGATGTCTGGACCCTTCCCCTATCCTCCTTTCTCCTCCTCCTCCTCCTCCTCCTCCTCCTCCGCCTCTTTCTCCTCCTCCTCCTCCTCCTCCTCCTCCTCCTCCTCCTCCTCCTCCTCCTCCTCCTCCTCCTCCTCCTCCCCCTCCTCCGCCATTCCTGCTCCTTATAAATAACTCCTCCCTGTCGCGCCCCGAGGCCAGCTTTTAGGGCGGGCCGGGCGTGTCGCCTGAGACTTCCTCACCACTTATAACCCTGAGGCTGAAAAAGTGACAACAGTTTCAAAGAAGGAGTGCGGGTGGCTTTCAAAATGTGGCTCTCGCCTCAGCGCCGCGCACATTCTTTGTAAACAGTTGCAAGAATTTCGCGGATTGAGGGCGGGGCGTTTTAAAAATATGGTTCTCGCCTTAGCGCCGCGCAGTGTCGTTTTAAACATTAGCCAAAGCTTCGCGGATTGAGGGCGGGTCGTTTCCAAAATGTGGCTCTCGCCTTAGCGCCGCGCACACTCGTTCTAAACATTAGCCAAAGCTTCGCGGATTGAGAGCGGTTACTTTTCAAAATGTGGCTCTCGCGTTAGCGCCGCGCACATTGGTTCGAACATTTGCAAGAATTTCACGGATTGAGGGCGGGCCGTTTTCAAAATGTGGCTCTCGCCTTAGCGCCGCGCGCAGTCTTTTTAAATATTTTGCAAGAGTTTCACGGGCTCCCATGTTCAGCGTACCAGCAATTGTGTTTTGGAAGGATTCAAGATTATGCGGGCGCAACAGTTATGTGGATACGCTGTGTTGAAATCCCAGACGTGGCGTTCTGACAGGATTCTGGATCGTCAAGACGCAGCAGTCAGGTTGATACGTGGCGTTGAAATCCCGAGAACAATGTGTTGGCAAGCTTCAGGATCTTCAAACTGTTTATCTTCCAGCGAGGCAGTTCACTCAATGGAAATGAACCGTTGTGGGGACCTATGACAGAGGGAGCTTGGAGGGAGGGTCAATTCCAACATCGTTGATGACTTTTGGGTTTCCACTGGTCCTCCTCTTCCTCATCCTCCACCCCCTACTCCTTTCTTTCTTTGGCGCGGCGCAAGCAGCCTAGACTACAGCCGTTTGATACCTATGTGTGAAAAAGACGGGCAACGTCCTTTGAAGCCTCGTCGAGCGCTATGGCTTCAGATGCAAGCGCGCTGCTTGGCGGGCGCAGAAACGTGCCGTGCACCATCAGGGGCTCATACGTGTAGCCTCCTGGCCCTCCGGCCCACAAGCCGATTATCCATGCAGCTGCGGCGCAGTCGCCCTTCCAGACGCCGCCGTCGGTCTGCATGACTGCACTCGCGCTACTCAATTTCAGAGCGGCTTCGCAGACTGCGGACCAGGACCGCTCGAGGTCCATCGCGTGGTCCGCGAGTCCGTCTGCCACTTTATTGTGGCAGCGCCTCCACCATTGCGCTGGGTCCTGGTGCGTCTGCGGAGGGCACCAGCCGCGTTGGAGGTGGCCCGCAAGCCCATCTAGCACTCGAGTGAAAAGGGCTTCGAATTTAGCGTCACGTAATTGCGCGCGGCCGCAAACAATTTGCGCCATGATTTGCGAGTCTGTAGCATATGCAAAACGACGCTCAGATGATGCCCACAAAACTTGAGAGGCAATTGTATCTAACAGTTCCTCCTTGGCGGGTACACTGCTCCGGAATGCTATCCTATGTTTGCCCTTGGACGTCGGGCCCTTGCGCCTCTTAGTAGCCGGCTCCGCGGCGCCTTCTTGAAGGCCTTCGTCCTCGCTCCAGCTGCAGAGCGCCAGCTTCCAGCGCCCGCGCGCGTGAACAAGAAATGCGGGTAGCGTCGCCCCCAGTCGGTCAGCGTCAGCTGGTCCTGCTCCAACCTCCACGTTGGGCCCATGATATCGACGAGTGGGTCCTCCCATGCTGCCCTCCTTCCCCCGGCCCTCTGCGCGAGCCCCTCGAGTCCACGACGCTTCGCAGAGATAGTTTTCGCGCACTCCCAACAGGTACGCGCATTGAACTTCCTTGTTCTGCCAACCATGTCGGAATCGCGCCCCCGGCGCGCCTCGTTGAACGCCGACGTCAATGCTGCCGCGTGCACCGGTACGGACCTTACCACTCTTCGCAAAATGGTCCTTGATTCGATCCGCAGTGCGCTGGAGGTACTCGTCGCTCTCCGGGCCGACGTCAGAGTCGGAGTGCTTCCCTTAACCACTAAAGTTCCCATGTCCACATGTTGTGCAGAAGTTCTGCCGTCAAGTGCCAAGCCACTGAACCATGTAACATAGGCACTCAGCTTTTCCCATGCCAGCGCCGGTGCGCCAAAAATCTGCACGTTAGCCAAGTAATTGCCCTCCGCCTTGATCATAATGTGGTCTGTGCTGCGCGCCGTGAAGCCGCGCTCGTCAATGCGCTCGCCTAGGATGAGCATGCGGCGAACAATATCGAAAAGAACAACCGCGCCGTCATTCCCCAGACTTTGGACTCCTCGGATATCCTCGGGACCGCTGCCTCCTCCGGCCACGACTTAAAGCGAAGACGGCTTCCATGTAAAACCTCCCCCAAAGACGGCCGCAGTGGCTTCGGCGATCATGGTATCCAGCTCTTCCCGGGAGGCAGCTAGTAACCGCGCGCGGTCGCGCCAAATGACATGCGAAACAGGTGCGCCCATCACCGGCGTCGGGCCGAATCCCCGGGGCCGCCACGAAGACACAACATCTCGCAGGAGGTACCCGATAACCAAATTGAGCAAATCAAGGGTGTCTTCCCCTCCTTGCCCCCCGCCCCTGCTGAAATCAAACGGCTCCGTCACGTCGCAGCCAGGCAAATGTATGCGCGCTCGGAGTTGTAATAACTCCCTGAAGACGTTGTGCATTAATCTCGGATGCATGCCACTCAATTTCACGGCCGCCTCCAAAACACCATTCAGAAGACAGCCGAAAGCGAACTTCACGTCAAGGGAGGCGATAAACACGGACGTCCCAGAGAACGCCCATGCTGCGTGCAAGACCTGCCTTATGGCTCCCGTGATTTCTGTGGTCCTCCGGCCGGCCTTGAAACCAAACGTCTCGACAGGAATCGGCCGAACTTCGGTCCGAAGCTGCCCCCGGCATGCACGTTCATACCACTTCTGGCTGATGCAACTTGTGGCGATCCACTGGAGTTTCTCGAAAGTCATGGAACCCTTCGTATCAGACTTCGGCAAACCCACGTACTCCAGTAGCTTCCATGCTTCGGGCTCGTCGCCCTCCCTGGAAGAATGACGCGCCGAAGGCAAACCAATGAAATATGCACACAATGAAGGGCAGGAGCTCGTACACCTCAAGAAGTATATCGCCGACCCCAGCAGCCTTATTTGGCAGAATAACCGCCCTCGCCTGCAGGGCATTGAATAAAGTGGGACGCACACAGAAACGATCAACACTTACCTCGCGCTCCCCTGCAGACCATAATCGGTGTAGCCGCTCCGATTGTACGTCTGAGTCGTTCGCTGGATCCCCGGAGCGTCCTTGACCGAAGATCCGCGCTGCTTCCTGGATTTGCTGCCTGTCTGCGATCGGCCCACTGTCGGTGTGAATGCAGATCGGTACAAATTGAACGCGGGTCGCTGCGGGTGCCTGGATTCTCAGGAGTTTTCGGGTTGTCTCCTATGCCGAATCGCGCGTCGAAGTCGTCGCAAGCGTCTGACTGTTTCTCGCTGCTCTGTCCCGCTTGCTCTCGGAACCGCCCGTCTAGCCGCGCGTAAGAGCGAGCAGTCGCTGGCAGCCTCCTGTTTTCGTCTGCTTGCTCGCGTCGAGTGAGGAAGCGTCGACGTCAGCAGCTGAAATTCCTTCTTATACTCCTTCAGGCTCGAACAAGAACAAATATTATTGCGCGTCTCCTGGTAAAAATGCGCCTCTGCCTCGGAGTCGCGAGGAGTCCATCCTGTGAACGTCATCTTGTGCACGCGCTCATGCGCCAACTTCCCCGGGAGTTCGATGGAGGCTATGACCGGCAAGTGGTCAGAGGTATTCAAGATTGTCCCTCTTCGGGGTCGTGGGCTGACATGTCCAAAAAAATACACGGATAACAAAATAGATAATCAATGTGTGACGTTCGCTTTGACCTCCGACCGCGTCCCCATGTCCAGGTAGCCTCCTGGGAGAATGTGTTCGGGGCGCGGAGGCCGTAGCAAAGCATGAACGATCAAATATGTGCACTGTTCCGTTCGTCTTCCAGGGAGGGTGGTCGATATATGGCCTCCCCAGCCACGTCCTCAAACTTTAAAGAAAGCTGCACATGAACGTCCGACCCCATCACGACGTAAAAGACGACGTTGCGGTACCGACCGCAGGCGTCAAAAACAAACTCCGACACGCCAGCAAAATCTATTTGGGCCCGGCCATCTTCATCTGTATGATCTAGAATATGTGAAATTAAAAAGAGAATGTCATTGATCACAATGGCACCCCAGCAGTCCTCGAAGCGGTACATCCTGACAGAAGGTAGCAAGCGTCTAGCTACCATAATACTGCAGTCACTGCCTCCTCTTCCGTAGGCTACAAAACCAGAGTAAACTTTCCCATCGAGCTCGCCATACCGAGGAACTTCCTGGAGAAGGGCAACATCAATCCCTAGAGAACGAAATGCCCGTCCAAGTTTGTCTGCCGATCCTTTCCCCCGGCGGCAGGCGTTCCAAGTCAAAACTGCAAGCCTCCCGATCTCCACTTTGAGATCTCACTGTCTCCGCCGAGGCTTCCACACCCGAAGCTTCGACTTCAAAGTGTCCGCCTCGTATCCCCGTTTCTCCTTGGTCCACTGGTCGTTGAAATGGCGCCCGCCGTGCTCGTCGATGAAGCCGGCCTCCCACGGGTCGCCCTTCTGGTCCTGATCGTCCTCGGTCGCCGTAATAAGGAAGTCAGGCTGCCACGTGCAGCCAATGCGCATGGGTTCGACCCCGTCGATCTGCTCGATGACGTTTTGGAGGAAAGCCCGGACACGACCGAAGGACGAATACCGCTTCTGGATCCATGGAATTCGCTGCGCCTGGACCCAAACATTGCGTCCGTTGTAGGTGTACTGCGCCTGCTCAAGCGCCATAGTAAAATCCCCTTAGACTTCGTCAGCGTAGCCTGGCGTGACCGGAAGGTGAATGGTGCCAGATTTCCCACCCCCAACCAATTTCATCTTCCCGATGTCCATGTGGCTCTGCGTGCTCGACGGCACTACCGTGTTCAAGTGCGTCAAGAGCTGCTCGACTGCGGCCCTGTCGATGCCAGTCTGCTTCCGGGTCTCCCAGCTCGCAAAATTCTTCAAAAGGACGTGCTCGGCGTGGAACTGCCCAGACGCTCCGCCACCAGATGAGGTGCCAGGAGTAGACGATTGTCCTGGCGCTTGCGTCTGCTGCTTATCGACCTTAGCTTGCAATTCCCGGAACTGCTTCGAATGCTGCGCCACCGTGTCCTCCAACCGTCCGACCTGGTCCTGGATCGGGCTGAGCTTCGCATCCAAGCGCTGGTTGATGGTTGAATTCATCTGGGCAAAGAACTCTTCCTTAGTCATCTGTGCCATGAGAGACATGTTGGGTAACTGGTACGGGCGTCGGGCTTCTAGGATACCTAAGAGACCTAAGAGCCCTTGAGCCAAAATGGCAAAGAGCCCTTGAGCCCTAAGAACCCTTACGCCCTAAGAGCCCTTGAGCCCTAAGAGCCTAAGAGCCCTTCCTCCTCCCCTCCCACCCCCATCCAGGGAGGCTGGTCCCCGACGGTGCGGTGCGATTTTGCCCCCGGGGCCGTGCTCGGAACGCCCTCCTGGGAGGCCTGCTTCCCACGGTAAGGTGAGATTTGCCCCCATCTCCCGCCCCCCCCCCTCCTCCTCTTCCCCCTACGTTTCTACGTTTCTCGCTATGCAGCGTCTTGTCGCGCGCCCCGCGGGCGCGGAGCGCTCTGCAGCGGCCCTCTAGGGCCGCGCGGGCACTCAGACAGCGGCCCCGGGAACCCGACCCCGAGGAAAGTAGGGAGCCAGGGACCAATCAAACATAGAGGAGGGAGAAAGGGGGCCGGGTTTCAGCAAAACTAAAAAGATGAGGGCCCGTCTGGGCCCTCAGCGGGCGCCGCGCTCGCCCGTGCCCGCTCAGGCAGCACGGCGCGCAGCCAGGCCTTCGGCCTCTTTGTGGGCGGTCGGCCTCTTGTGTGGCGGCTGGGCTCCCTTCGGCGCCTCGCGCTGAGCCCAGCCGCCGTGTCATCGGATGGATGGCCGCCTTCTCTGCGGCGGCCTCCACCCTTCGGCGCATGACGCTGTGGAGGCCCGCCAAGCCTCTCTTGGACTTCGGCGGCCCTGCAGCCATCTCCTCGCCTGCCACGCGAGGCTGGGGAAGGCCTCGCCGCGGCGCACGGTGCGCCGCCTCCTTCACTTTGCTTGGACTCCTCTGAGATGTCGTACGTGCTGAGCACCGCTTCCGATGTGGCAGGCTCATCACGCCACACTGCTGAGGACCCTGCTCCTGTCCTCCTTTCAGCGGGCTGGTCTCGTCAAGGTGGTGGTTGCTGTTGATGGGGTGGAGGTTCTGGGGTTGATAGTCTTTGTGGTGCCTCGCAGCTGAGGACCCTGCTCCTGTCCTCCTTTCTGCGGGCGTGCCATCTGGAGATTGGTTCTGAGGACCCTGCTCCTGTCCTCCTTTTCAGTGTCTCCATGGCGTGTTGCTCGAGCCTGGCTGTTGAGGACCCTGCTCCTGTCCTCCTTTCAGCAGGCACTGTCATGGTTGAGTCGTGCCGCACTGCTGAGGACCCTGCTCCTGTCCTCCTTTCAGTGGGCTGGTGGAGTCGAGGTGGTGATGGTGGTTGGATGGGTGGTGGTTGCGGGCTGGGTGATCTGACGGTGGCGAGTCCCATAGGCTGTAGATGGTCGTCTTGAGTGTCTATGGTCAAGTCGTGGGGATAGCGTGTTGTTGCTGGGGTTGTGTTGTGGGTTATGGGCGCACATGAGAGGCCTCCATGCACCGACTTCAAGTGGGGTTCGTGGCGGCCCCACCTCGTCCCGCTATGGCTAGGGGTCACGGTGCCCTCGGTGGGGGCGAACCCCAGGCCTGGTGCTTGCTGTTGTCGTCGGTGGGGAATGTCTCTGCTGCCTTCAGCTTCGCCGCGTCGGCGATCGGGTAAGCTCCTCCTTCGCCATGGGAATGGTGGGGGTGGCGAGCTAGGGCGGACCGCGGGGGCGCGGGTAGTGGCCGTCCTACCCCCCCCCTGCCCCTCACCATCCCCGCTGGCGGGCGCGGGAAGTACTCGTCCTTCCCCCCCAGCCCTTCGAGCCCGTCTCGAAGTTTGATCCTCACCAGGACAGCGTTGACTTGGAAGGAGTTGTAGGGGGTCGTGTTGGGTATGCTGTCGATGTCGGTCGGTGATACGCTGACGGCCGATGGGCCGCCCGCTGCCAGCCAGCTGGCGCCATCCATATTGTAGATCTCCAGGAGCCGCCGCGGTACACATCAAAACGTGGCGACTTGTGCCTGGGGTGTTCCCTCGCATTCGGGGCTTCCCCAGGTCTTGCGTTCTAACGATAGCCAAGGTTGGCGACGCTGCCTGAGGTCTTCCCACGCATTCGGGGCTTCCTCAGGACTTAAGCAGCACACCGTAATGCCTGCCCAGGGCCAAATAATCATAGTAAACAGTGCCAATGTTAGGAGAGTCGATAAATCCAGCAAGTGCTCGAGGGGGGGTCACGCTCCGTCGCCATTGAGGGATCGTGCCCACCCGCATGGGCGCTACGGGTCCCCCCCCCCTCGAGATGGCACGCAATCGTTGTCCAGGTCGCATCCGTACCAGTAACCCGTTAGCAACAGGGTATTGGGCCATGCCGTAGGTGCGCTGATGCTGACACTTCTGCTGCCAATCTGAAATACTCTGTATAAAATATTGTAATGCCAGCTGCCATCAAATCTGTAGCAAGCCGGTGGTCTGCGCCAAATTGCAGACCAGTGTTCCCTTACGGGGCAAAAGTATATAAGACTGGACGCTTGACTCGACTAACTGCACCAAATAGGCCGCCGCGGTGCCAGTTGCTAGCGCCGATGGTTGCCCCATGCCCTGTGACAATCATGGCCGATCTGGTCTGTCTCCAAGTAGTAATCCAAGGGGGCGTAGAACCTGTGGTAGCAGTCGTCCGTTTCGGCCCACATTGCCTCTGCGTCAGCAAGCTGCCCCCAGTGGGCTGCGAAGGCGGTAGCCATTGCCTTGCACAGCCTTGATGGATACTCTTTGAGGGGGGCGGTCCTCCAGCCGCCTTGGCCGTCTCGTCCGTAAACTCCGGCATGTCCCGCATGTCGGCATAGCTGTCCCCCAGGTACCGCCCTTAGCTCCTGTGCGAGTTCACCGAGGTGTGCCGCCATCAGACATGTTGGTTTTCTCGCGTCCTGCCCGAACTGGCACTGGTCTATGTAGTGAAGTTCGACGCCCGTCTGCTCCAGGAGCCAGAGCGTCTCTGCTCGCTGCCAGCTGCTAGGCGCTTGAGGGCACCATGTGGCTGGGGCGGGATGCTCGAGTACGGCTGAGACGTTGTACTGCAGGCCCGTGGTGATGAGTAGTAAAGCTGTCCTGTATAGCTCGTTGGCTAGTGCGATCTGTTGATGCTCCGCTTGGCTAGCTGCTTGTATGCCCCAGGGGGCTTCATGTGTACGTAGTGGTCGAGGTGCCTTCCCCTCGGCGGCATGCCAGCGCGATGAGCACCACGTCTCGCAGGGCGGGCCCGCCACAATACCAAATATTTTGCCCTGTCGTATCGCTGCGCACCAAAAGTCGACGACGTCTGGCTTCGTCAGGTCTCCTTTGACGGGGTCTATCTGCACGTCGATCGATAGTACTACCAAGTTGCATTCCCGAATGTTCATCTCGAAGTGGTACTGGAAATCCTCGATTCGACGTCTGCCCGAGAAAAGGTGCAGCAAGAACATAGCCGTGGTAACCATGGGCCTGCACGGTGAGAATACGATTGCAGGTGGTGTCGCTGTTTGGACGTCCGCTGCCGCAGGCGGGGCCGGCGAGAGTTGGAGCTGGTGCTGCTCTATGTAGTCGGCCAGCTTGAGCTGTATGACCTGTTGGGCGGGCACCAGCGCCTTTGTAGCTCCATGCCCCATTGCCTTCCTCGCCGCCACAGCTTCTCGTTCTTCTTCTCGGCGTTCGGCTGCCTCCTGCAAATCCATTGGGACCTCGATTGCTTGGAGGACCGCCAGGCATTTGGGGCACCTTCTCAGGTGCTTGAGTATGCGGGATCTCGTTATGAAGTTCTTCCCGCACCCAGGGCAGGTAGTCGAACGGGCAAGCAATTCGGGAAGGTCGTAGCCGATGTGTTCCATGGTGCGATGGCGCTTCCATGCTCCCCGAGTTTTTAATATCTTGCCACACTCATAGCATATGTAGCCACAGTGCTGTGCGGGCGGCAGCCCCTCGAAGTTGGGCGTGGTCATTCCAAACTCTTGCGCAAGACGGTGTAGCTGCCTTTGCCAAACTCGATGTCGATATATGTCGTGCTGCCATGCTTTGTACCTGAGCCACGCACGGGTGATCGTGGCTTGTGCGGCTCGCACGTGCTGTGTGCGTAGCCATCGCAGCAATCCCCTGATGTCGCTGCCGATGTCCTCGTCGTCTAGTAGGAAACTTCTTATCCAGTCCAGATCTTCGACGATAAGAGCGTTCCAGGCCTTCTCATCCTCCCAGAGTTCGTCGATGAGGCGGTGGAGGAAGGGCGTGTCTGCATGCGCCATCCTGGCCAGGTACATCAGGCGCCGTCGGCGCAGGTACATGTGGATCGGTACTTCGTCGCACAACAAGTATATTTCGTCATCCAAGGTATGTACATGTCCCGCGCTGTGTCGCTGTTGTCTTGCGGCGGCCCGCAGACTCGCCATGTGTCTGCTCTGCAGCATCTGCTTCTGCTGTACTGTAAGTGGCCCCCACACTTCGCAGTCGTAGGTCAGCTTGCTTTGCGCCAGCGCCGTGAGGTACAGCAGCTTGGCCTTGAGGTCGATGTGCGGCAGGCGGAAGATGGACTTCTTCAAGGGGCCCTCTGCGGATCTGTGGTCTATGATGCGTCTCATAAGGTTCGGCCCCTCCCCACCATCACTCGTCACGATATTGCCCAATGTGAGTCCCTGGGTCGTGACCTCCGCCGTTGACACTTCAGTGCTAGTTGGCGGCTGACCATCCTCGCGCCGCAGCGTGATGGGATTTGTCTTGAAAATCTTCGCCTTGATATGCTGCTTGGCGTGCCCATCGATATGCAGCAACGCTTTAGTCTTCTTGGGGTGTAGGTCATGCCCGAAGATCTTGAGTCTCCTTGCAATGATGGACAATATGTCGAAGATGCTGCTCTCGATTTTCGTGTTGTCGTTAAGTACGCACAGGAATGTCGCATCGTCCATGAAGGATACTTCTGGCAGGGTCCCTTCCAGCCCTTGGAGCTGGCCTGACGTGACAATGGCTTGTTCGCCCGCTGGTGGTAGTTGTAGTAGGTACCCTCCTGCATGTAGCTCCTGCTCCAGTGGGCCCAGAGCGTGCGCGAAGCTGATGTTGAAGATGAGGTCGGCCAGG